TTGATCAATTTGTCTGAATGCCCCCCCAAAAAATCAGAAGACAGGGCTTATCCTCGACTTGTTGGCATATTTTCTGGCGTTTGCCTTGAGCGTGTGAATCGAATGTGAAGAGATGTGTGGGCGTGTTTATTGGTGTTTCTGCCTAAATAATTGGGCACCGGTCAAAGGATACAACACATTTTTGCTTCTTCTGCTGCGGCTGGAGCTCACATGGAGGGCTCGGTCGATCGCATAATTTAATCATTTAGTCAAATAATCAATCATTCAAGTGAATCATTAATTAATTCAGCATCAACCATTTGGCTTTGACCCCAAATCTAGCTCCCAAGGAAAACACTTTGCCGCAGCAGCGCTGCTGGGTGAGATTGGGTTGGGCTGTGGGTGGTGGTTAGAGGGTTGTGGATTGTGGGCTGTGGGTGGCGGTGGGTCACATGGTGGGCGAAGCAGTGCGGCCCTCATCCTGGCGGCAGTCTGGGTCCTTGGCCGGGTCGTGTGTATTTGTAATTAACTGTTATTTAATACGATTTGCTTGATTTCGTCGGATGATGGGAAACAAAACTGTTGAGGCATCCCCAAGAGGATTCAGTCCCAACTGCGGTTATCCACACCACATCCTGATCCGCCCACCACCCACTCTGGCCCGGGATATTTTAAGCACCGATTTAATTTGCCAAAGTTCCTGACGCCTTCGCTTCGGCCCCATCATTTGTTTGCCTGCCGGTTCGTTTGTTTGTCCGCCCGACTGTCTGTTTGCCATTGATAAATGTTTGTCGGGCCGATGTTCGTTAATGATGACACTTCTTATTGTCAACTCGGTGGACTCGGACTCACTTGGTGATTTGTCAGCCATAAGCGGACGAGTCCTGTCCTCTCCTCGATGGCATCTTGACAGATAAAGTCATAGGGCTTAGTCGGTCATTGGGTCCGGCTGATTAAGCGGTTCGAGCCGGCTGCTCACTCCCGAGCTGCCGAAGGTTGCCTTGCGGAGTGACAGCGCAATAAGTTGATCGCGTCATCAAGGACACGCTGGCCGGGCTTGCAAGGACTTTCTAGGAAAACCCGCAGTAAAAGCACAGCGACAAGGACGATGACGTTGGCGAAAACAAAAGGGACTTCCGCAGCTGCTGCGAGTATCGAGAAGAATTCGACAGATTAATATCCAGTTATTATAAATATGAAACAATGGAAATATTTATATGTAAAAGGCACCCAAATAGTTGAATGTAGTTGAATTTCGTATATGTTCAAAGGATACTTGACATTCTTAGACACCACACATTTCAGCCTTTACAAATCACATAGTATTAATATGCAAAATATTTTTACAAAGCTGAACAGTTAATTCAGAAAAGGAAACCACTAAACTTGTTATTGGCTGCATGCCTTTTTAAAAAAATGCACTTCAAAAGACATTAATGGCTACTTAAATGATTTAACAACAGGAGGTTGTTCTTAAAGCACTGAAATTCCTGAATCTATTTCGGTATTTCCGTGTTTTAAAGCTTTCAACATGATTTGAATAGCTTCCAGTGCCTCCAAGCTTCCACGTTTTGCCGAATCACAGGCAACTATCCTTTCTGTTTACCCGAAGATGTAAAACACTTCAGCAAACCTTGAGCTAAAGGCAATCACACTTTAGGTCAGGCTGCTTGCTTAGCCCCCAACTAATCCACCCGGGTACTGGCAGTCGGGACAACAGGGTACTCCTGGAAAACAGGTTATAAAAACATGTGTAACTAGACGACTTACAAGGATCACGCACTCCAGTGACACTTAATGCCGCCACGTCGACGCCGGAGATGGAGATGGAGATGGGGGAGCAGGGATAGAGGAACGGGGACGGAGACGGAGACGGTGAGAGGAGGCCAAATGTCACCAACTAACACAGACAAACGCAATTAGCTTTTAGCCATCATAACATTATGAACGGCAGGCGACAGGCAACGAAGGAGACGACGACGTCGTCTGAATGCTAACTGCTAATGACAAGGATGTGGACGACGAGGGGAATCCGGTAGCTGAAACTGAAACTAGGGCCGGGCCAGTACTTTGAGGGGAGGGCGGGGGCGAAGGGGGCTGCGCTGCGATGCGATGCGGTTAGGATGAATGCCGAGCTCTGCGCATTATGTTGAGTTAGAGCGGGGAAGTCGGCGGCAGGACGAAGCAAAGCTCACGGATGGCACGCGGCTGCCAACAATGCTGTTAACTTGTGTCGAGATTAAAATAAGGACACTCGGAGAGCAGAAAAAGCCCCAGACCAGGACCTCCGCGTCCGCATCCTCCTCCGCATTCGGATGGACGTGCCCTCAACACGCAGCCAAAGTCACAGTCGCCGCCGTCGGTAGGAGTTGACTCGCATGAGTTGCGAGCTGAAGCTTTGTTTATTATGGCCCGGCATGGGAAATGGGTGATGCAGTTGCCTTTTGACTGAGGCCAAAGTGTCCTGTGGCTGAATTGGATAATTCCGAAGGGGCGGAGGACTCGGAGGAGTCGGGCAGGCGTGGCAGGCGTGGCAGTCCTGGCAATCCTGGCCTCATCATCCAGTTGGCTTCCAAAATTACTGCGTAAATGATGATATGAGATTTGGAGCATTTCTGCGGCATCATTCAACGGAAGCGGATACACGAGTATGCCTCGACACGGAGTCGGTTGATGTTGTCGCCACCGGAAGGAAGTTATTTAACGCACACACACACTGCGAGTGCGGAAGATGGGGATTATGTGGCACGATAATCATATTACGATTACGTCGCGTAAAATTTGCCCCACTGTCGGTGAGTGAGTGAGTGAGTGAATGAGTGAGGTTTAAGTGGAAGTTCGCGGTGCCACAGCGATGGGGCGAGACAGATATGGGGAGCTGGGAAAACAGAGCATCAAATAATTATACATGTGAAGTGACCGGGGGCAAGGGCGTGCTCGGAATACCCCTGCTGACTTTCGACGGGCCCGGGTGTGCTCCAAGTTATGACATCCCAGGGCATTCCACCGCCCTCCATCCCCTCCTAGGCCATTTTTTTTCATAATTGTTTAATTTTATTTCATTGACTGTCGAGGACCCTCGCCATCCCCGGGAAGCCTGTCACCGCCGCCAATCGTCGTCAACGTCGGGCTCCCGTTCCCGTTCCCGTTCTTATTCCCTTTGTGGGTGTGGGAGTGGGTGTGGGTGGGAGAGGGGGTGGGAGTGGGTCGGGAACGAGATGCGGATCGCTTAGCATTAATGTCTTTCATTTATTGTCATTGTTGTTAATGTTTTTTGTGCTGTGCATGGGAAAAAAGCATTTGCATTTAAGCGCTGCGAACGCGGCAAGTGGATGGGGTTCCTCTGGAAGCTTGGAAGTGGGTGGATGGGTTGCTCTGTGGCCGGAGCAGAGATTTTGCTTGGATGATTTTTATTGCTCGTTTGTAGTAAATTTGGTGTGTAATTAGAGAGAAAAGGGTTATTATGTTCGTTAACGCAGTGAGCCCCATTCCCCCTGCCCCTGCGCCAAGCAGGCAGTGTATTCGGGCTTTAAACTGGATAACTGGATAGCTGGATTGCTGCAGAAGGAACTGGCACTGAGGCGGGAGCAGGACCAGAATTTCGGTGCCTGGCCAGCGAATTTCAGGCGACACAATGCCGACCAAAGACGCACCGCAAAACGACTGCCTCTGACGACCGGAAGGCCTGGGACACAACAGCAGTAAGGAAAGAGCAGACGGAGAAAGCGAAGCAACTGAACTACTGAACTGCTACAAAAAACTGCACCGAAACCAAAACAGAAATTAAATTGTGGCTCGCCAAAGTGGTCCTGGCTAGTCCTGGGTCAAGGGAATGCGAGTAAAATGGAAATGGGAGCAGGAGAAAGATGCAGTGAAACTCTGGGGTATATAAGCATTGTGGGTTGACCAATTCGGGGTCACCATTTCTCACGGACTTATAGTAAAGACCTCTTGAAAATGATCCTTGGGCTTTATAAGTTCAGGAGCACTTCCAGAACGTAAGTCGCAAACTGTTCAATACTTTCAACAGTATAACAATACTATCACTTAAGTTAAGAAAACACTGACGGTTGAAAGTAAAGATGTTACAATCGACGCCATATGAACTACATCATTGCTCACAAAGGGATTAAAACTCTTTTTTTTTAAATATAAATTATTAAAACAATTTGTACCAAAACAAAACGCAATATTTGATTTAAAGGAATGAATAAGAGAATTAGGGGAGCGAAATTATTATTCCCCCTGAAAAAGTTTTGAGCTGAAAACACGGAATTAAATTAAATTTGGTCTCGCCGCCATCGATATGATAATTACTCCTATATAAATTTATATCAGTTTATAAATTTTATTAAGCCTCGTTCGTTGTCTGCTGTTTTGTGCCTGTCCTATTAAGTTTCTCGCTCGGTTCGCCGTGGTCGAGTCGCCCAACCGGATGTCCTGGCATTTGAGGTGTGGAGGGCAGAGGAGGCGTGTCGCCTGCCCAGATGAGAGTGATACGATGATAACGACCGTGGAGTGGGAACCGGGTCAGGGAGCAGAGCTCCGTGGCTCGTTTTTATTTGTTGCATTTCTGGCCCGACCATGGAAATAAAATTTCAAATGTAACTTTGCTGCGGTAGCCAGTTCGTGTACGCGCTCTCGAACGGGTGTGTGCTTGTGTGTGTGTGGGTATGGCAGTCCTGTGTGTCCTTTTGCCAGTTGATGTGTATGTTCATGTTGAGCGCGGCCTGCGGCCTGTGACGATTCTGCAGTTAGCCGGACTCCGATTTCGATTCCGACTACGGCTACGACTACGACTACGACTCCATCTTGGCCCTGTCTCCGTGGCCCTTTCCGTTCCAAAGACCTTTGCCCTCGTCTTTAAGGGCAATGCAGTTGGCATAAAATTTAATTCGCCGTCCGGGGAGGAAGCGCCCAGGACATTACGTGCTGGCAGTGTCGCTTCCTGCCCCCATCTCGAGCCCGAGAGCAAAACCAATCGCAGTTGCCGGGCAAAGCACTTCCAGCACGCATACAAACCAGTTCGGAATCTCAACGTGAGGCGGTCAGGGGAAGACTGAGACGTACATCATATGGACATAGGAGCAGAGTGTCGGGATCAGACACATTCGCAGATGGCCGGCGACGCTGCCAAGTCGAAGCGGGCCTTCTGCTCCAGCACACAGGTGCAGCTGGACATGGAGAAGCAGATGGAGAATGAAACGTGGGGCACTCCGCTGGGCACCAATCTTGTCGAGGACGATGCGGACTTCTCGAGTAGCAGCAGTGAGCCCACAAGCTCCGGCGGGACGGATAGCGAAGGTGAGATGCCGATGCCGATGGGCCTCTGAATCCAAAGATATGTAATTTCGCACTCTAGCCAACAGCACATCCGATCCAGATGCCGATGGCACAGTGTGCAGTGGTCCCTTCGCCGATCTCCAGTCGAGCACGTATACCCCGCTGGCTGGGGACTCGGACAACGACTTGGACGAGGAGGAGGTGTTCTGCGAAGAGGCCATCTCCCTGCTGGCCCACGAGATCCTCTGCTGCGAGTGCGAAAGTGACTCCGAGTCGGAGGCAGAGGGGAACGGCGAGGACACAGGTGAGGCCAAGGACAACGGCAAGCTGAGCGGAATCCACGAGTACGGGCTGCACAATCCGTACCAGCTCATGTTCAGTGAGGAGGACGACGAGAATCCAAGTGGGGAGGATTCGCCGATCGTCAGTGAGACGATTCTCCTGCTGGGCGAGGATCAACAGAGCGAGGATAAGCCCGAGTCAAAGAAGGAAGAGAGCTTCCTTTAAGGAAGGCATATTTCTAGGCTTCGGGTTACTCCGATTTGGTATCTGCAGATTTTCACATTTTACTAACATGAGCTTGAAATTAAATTTGGTAGCTATTAAGGCTAATAAATGTATGGTACCACTTTTTGAATGGCTGCAATTAATGGACGACAATGTAGACTTTTAATAAATCTTTTATTACACAATCTGCACCTTTAATATACCTTCAAATCTGGCGTGAGAAACAACTTATGAGCTAACTTCAAGTTATCGTTGTTTAGATGCTTATTTTGGTTGCGTATTTTTTTTGTAATATTCCGAGTATTTAGCACCAAGAACTCTAGAAAAAAACTGCTGTGCCCCGACTATTATACTCCACATTTTGTTCGCATATCAACATTTATGTATGCATGCAAATGCACATACATTGTTTTTTGTATAAACGCCGAAAAACGACTTAAAGCGACTATGTGTGAACCCTTCAGGGGTCAATCATTGTAGTCTGTATGTATGAATAAATAGTATTTTTTTATTAGACTGCGTTCTCAGTTTTAAGAAATGAATTGTCCGAATCCTATGGCCCGAAAAATGATGGTGGAAACTATTTTAAAATTTTAAAATAATTAAAGTTTTGTCTTGGTCAATTAGAATTTGATTTTCAATAATACCTTATCTCGACCACCAACATTGGCTTGATTTACAATAAATTTGATAGAATTGAGAGTCAGATCAATTGCTTTGAACAGTTTTGCCTAATCCCTTTCCGTCGCTAAATCTTTTTGGATCCCACTTGAAATATAAAATAGGCATTTCAAACGTTACGATTTCAAATTATTTAAAGAATAGAATCTACATGTAGAGGCCTAACCGCAAACATAGTTCAAGAAAACTTTTTTGGAATATTTTTTAAGTTGTTATGCAAGAATTTTATTGAAGAATTTTTGTTGAAATATTTTTAAAGATTTCACTTGTTCAAATATAACAGCAAAAAAGTTAAGTATTAACTCTGTCAATCTGTTGTATTTAAAATAAGAGTACAGGCTTAAAAGCTCAAAAAATATAAAAGATATGTGAATATTGGCCATCAATTGGCCTTTTTTATAAAAAAAATTGCAACTAAAAATAGTAAACTAAGAATTAAAACTCTTAATGGCCAAAGACTGTTTTTACTATATTAAAATTTTAACATATGCATCATTTTCACAAATGCGAATTCTGAAAAAGTTACAGAAAAAATAACGTATTCGCCAACAAAATACTAAAAGACGATTAAAAAACGAAAAGAAGGACAAAGCAATCCGACTTTCCTTCTCTTAGTAAACGGAAAAATTGTCTCTCCTGCAAAAATGTAGTTTTTGTCGAATACGTTATTAAAGCGTTTGAGGCTCGATATGCATGTATATACATACGGACGACGTTATAGCGCCGACTATTTATCCGTTAAAAATTAAAAAAGCAATAGCTGTGGTCAATTTTGCAATAAACTTGCGCTGCGTAGTCATCACTCGTATCAGCATGTTGCGTATGAATTTTCCAGCTCTAATGATTTTAAAGACCTTAAATTCCATACGGACAGACGGAAGAAAAACAGACAGATGAACAGACGGACATGACTAGATCGGCAGGCTTATGATCCTGATTAAAAATATATGAACATATGTATATACGTACGTTTTCCTGTTACACTAATTTGAATGAATAAAATATACCTTTTTACTTCAAAGTATCAGGTATTAATGGGCTTCTTTTAAGATGGGAAATCCTATTTCACAAAGAAGCTTGTGTGCTATTAAGTGAGCTAACAAAAGGGATTAGAGATCGATTCATTAAGCTACCAACTCGTAAGGTAAACACATTTTTACTTGCTTAAACGTTGGCAGTGTCATAGGTTGTCCCTATGGCCCCACATTAGAGCACCACCCCGCGATCACGCCAACTTCCTTTTCGGATCCCTCTTCCCGTTGTCACTCACCTGTTCACACTCAAAGTGGCTGGATGGTCGCCCAAGACACCTGAGGGAGATTGGCGGCGGCGATGGTGATGGTGATGGCGACTGCGACTCCAACTTCAACGAAATGCTGACAGGCGACGGCAACAGGCGGGCTGAACTGCCTTCCCTTGGCAGCTGGCATTTAGTATTTAGTATTTAATATTTCGCCTCTCGGTTGCACCGCCCCTCGGTTGCCTCACTGTTTGCCATTTGCCATTTGCATGGGGCTGGTCTTTAGTCTTTAATTGCAAACTGGCAGCTGCAATTGCTGGCAACTAAAACTAAAAACGACGACAAAGGATGAGAAAGAGCGATGCGAAAATGAAATACAACATCAGGCGGAAAGCGAATGCGAAATGTTTTCGTTATTTGAGCAATGCAATGCAGTCTGCTGCTGATGATGATGATTGTGATAGTGATGGTGAAGGTGATGATGATGATGATGATGATTCTGATTCCCACTTCGCCTCCTTTTTGACTGCACTTATCGTAATCGGCGTTTCGGTGTTGGCTTTCAAATTGCCCGCGACCGCGTCAAAGCGACCACAAAACTAGCTGAACGGCCAACCGGCGACCATCGACCGGCAATCGAGGACCGCAGGTCAGGTTTTAGCCAGCTATCAGCTTGGTTTAGTTCGGTTTTGGGCTGGTTTGGTTGGGTTCGCTTTGCTTTGGCCTGCTTTGTCCTGGCTTGTTGGTCTTAGTTTGGGGCAGTTGGTGCAGTTTAAGGCGAATGCAACTGTTGCGGGGGCGAAACAGCGCTTCGAAACAAAAACCAACAGAGTCACTCACCTCACACCTCGCACTTTAAACAACACGCACGTGGTACCGGAATAAAAAAAAGAAAGGACACCCAGGACAGCAACAAAAACGGCAGATGGGGATCTCGCACCAGGCGCCAGAACTGCAAACTATGTGTCGGTCGCGTCAAGTCAGGACTTGTCGAGATTTGGCGAGAGATTTGCGGGCCACGCACGTGTCCGCATCCGCATCCGGTACCCGGTACTGATGTCAACAAGCTACCACACGCAACTAATTCAAAAATCCAGCGAACGGATTACGGCCATGGTCCGCATTGCCAGCCGAGGCCGAAGGCGTCGCCAATCGTGGGGCTCGGCGCGGCCCGAGGACGAACCCGAAGCCGAGAACGAGTCCTTCGGGCGCCGTTCGGCCGGACTCGGCCCGTCGTGTCGCGTCGTTCGTCGTCGGCGGCGGTCGAGGGTCCTGCGGGTCCTGCCGGTCCCGTTGGTCCTGCTGATTCCAGTCGATGGTCGGCAGCGAAGTGGTGAGCACGTCGCCCGGCCAAGTCTACCGCTCGTCCTTCCTTCGCCTTCGTCCTGCGAGCGGCCAGCGGGCATTAACGTGCTGTGCGCTTTATTTAAAAAGCAGCTTAACCTGCTTTTGTGACCTTTTCCCTTTTGGCCAACACGTGGCCAACAGCATCAGCAGCCTCACTTCGGTCCACCTTTATCGATGGAGATGGATAGTCTGCGTGCTGTGTGCGCCATGCGTGTTGATAAATGAGTTTTTATTTTGATTTTATTCACTGTTTGCCTTGTTTTTGCATACTCATTGGAGGGGCTTCGTCCCTGCTGCGTCTCTGATTCGGAATCTGAATCAGATTCAGATTCCCACTCTGATTCCGATTCCGAGTGCGATTTCGATTCCGCCTCCTGATCCCAGTGTGCGATGCGAATGTGTCCGGCATCGCCTGCAAATCCTCTGCCACCTATTGCCAGGACCGTGCTGAAAAGGTTTTTAATTTATTAGCAATCAGTGGCATTAACAGCTGAATGCGACGCTGTTGCTCCCAGCGGATACGGCCACTCGGATTATGGCCGGGCCAGTCGGATAGGAAGCCAGTTGTCTCTGATCGTTGGCCGGGCCGACAAGGCTGGCCAAAATGGGGCAGAAGTTTGATGAAGGGGATGAGTGTGTGAAAACATGTGGTCACCAGCTTTTCGAAAGCCACGATTATTTAACTAATGGGATGGGGATCACTTAAGGAATGATTGGATAGAGAGTTCCCTAAGGGTCTTCATTAAATAATTTATTATATTTATTCTTAATTTATTATCAATACAGTTTTATATTGTGTCAATTTGTCACTATTGCGTTGACACTGACAATATTTTTGAACCATATCAACTTATACGAGTATACTACTTCAGCATTAGCAGTCTTTTGTTTCAGTTATTTGTGTGGTACTCTTCTTTATTTACTTTTTTTTCTGACACCGGAATATTTTTTGTATATGACTTATTAGCTAACAATATTATGAAGAATTGTTTAAATATAGATTTTATAAAATCATAATTTACACAAAACTTCTAACTGAATACAATGCTTGTGACTGGTTTACTATTTATTGATGTCACAGTGATGAACCCCAACTAAATGTTTTTCATAATAATATACAAAACATCTTTATTTATTGTATTCCTGCAAGACAAAATTTATTAAACCAAAGCAAAATCAATGTCCTAGCAATGACATAAAAGGACATACATCTGCGGGATAGAAGCGGTATTAAATCGAATACCTCATAATCCAATATAAAGAAGCAAATTAAAGCTGCCACTTTTTGATGTACCTGAAAAATGTCTTGATAGAACTTAAGCGACTTATTTAACTGTAATAAAACATTTAGCTTTTTTATGAATTTGAAATGGAATTTTACAAATTAAATCTAACATTAAGGACTGCATAACCCTTACTCGCACAACATGTTACACATATTTTTAATACATCGATCACAATTTCCACATTGCCATTCATTTCGAAAAGAGATAGGATTATTCGAGCAATGAAACCAAATAATGACTACAGACTAAACTCTATTCTACCTTTTCTAGCAAAGGTGCTTAAATATTTGATGTCCCAGCAGGTCTAGTTTTCTAAAAAAAAACTCCCTGTTAACGCATAATTAGAAGGGGCTTAGGAAAAAGAGAAGCTGCATAAGTGCAATAAGAGCATTCGAAAAAGATTTTCGTAAGTAACTGGAAAATAATTTCGTTTATTTTTAATCTTTAAGCATTCAATTTTCAAAGGTAAATTAAACAATTTTTAAAATTTTTCAAGTTCTGTAATAAAGTTTGTAGAATCGTATTTTACTGGTAGATTACAGACAGTTGTCTCAGGTACACGCATTTCCAGAGATGTGTCCTTGGAACCTTATTTTTTTCTATTTCTGTAAATGATTTGCCCAGTGTTTTGGCGAAATGTGAAGTTAACTTGCATGCGGATGATGTGCAAGCCTATGTTAGTAGATCAATTAAGCAATTGATAAGTGATAGTTGATAAGTGGGCCAAAAAAAATGGCTGGGGCATGAACCCGAAAAAATCGTGTGTCTCGATATTTTTAACAGTCGATTAAATAGATTCCATGTTTTAAATTTGGTCTTTAACAACTCACTAATAGAATTTGTGGAATACGCAGATCATTTTGGGATAACTTTTAGTAAAATACTTTTCTGTATTACTCTCAGCTCTTATGCTCAAAAATATTTCTCCCGCAACAAATTAAGATTTTAATTAAGTTTAATTTGTTTGTACAAATATCCTATACCAGTTTCTTTACTATATCTATTCTTGCCCCATGGATTTTCTTTAAGTTTTAACTAAACTTCACGAATAATTGAAACTAAACATTTCGAATTTTTTGAAAATCAATCGAATGTATCATAGGCATTTCAAAGGAATGGTCTGCCAATATACATTTTTCGTACCAATTTTTGTCACAGTTGCTTGCCGGACCTTATGCTGGGATGACACATTCAATTTTTAGCTTCAATTTATTAAACCAATTTTTCCCTTATGGGAGTTCAAATGAATGCCAGAGAGAATGGAATAGTATGAATTGCCACACAATCATTGCTGTTAAAGGCAGTTTTTAAAAATGGATTCTTGCAGTTTCAATAATGTCGCTAGAAACAATTTCTTTGCTTACCTGATTGCCATGTCCAGAACTTTGCACATTGGAATAACAAATAACAAACAACAAGAAAGGAAAGCTTGCTTCGGGCGGAGCCGAAGTTTATATACCCTTGCAGAATATTCTGTAAATTCTCCAAAATTATTCATATGATAAATTCTTAATACTCATAAAAATCCCAATGTCTTAACTTTAAAAACACCAAAGTGGCATTTTCAATCGTTCAGTTATATGGCAGCTATAGGATATAGTCGGGTGATCCTTACGAAATTTGGTAGGTCGGATTGATTGGCCAAAAATAAAACCCATAGAAAATCCCAACTTTACAAACACCAAAGTAATGGCATTTTCGATCAATCAGTTATATGGCGGCTATAGGATATAGTCGGCCGATCCCCGTTCCGACTTATATACTGCGTGCAAATAAACGAAGGGTGTGTGCAAAGTTCCAATTCGATATCTTTAAAACTGAGAGACTAGTTTGCGTAGAAACAGACAGACGGACAGACGGACATGGCTATATCAACTCAGGACGCCATCCTGATCAAGAATATATATACTTTATAGGGTCGGAGATGTCTCCTTCACTGCGTTGCACACTTTTGACCAAAATTGGAATACCCTCTGCAAGGGTATAATAAAGCGCAAATAAGCGAACATTAGCTCATTTCTATTTATATGCTAGTCCATATATGTACATATTTGGTGATTAGGGTTTTTTCAATTGTTGGCTGACGGATGAGAGACTTGGACGGCCACGTACTATAGATAAGAATATGGTATATTTTATAATATTTTAGGCTCAATTTATAGCTACATTTCAGTATACTTTTTAAATTCGACTTGCGTAGATGGAACATCTTAAAATGCTGAGGCAATTATCCTATTTGCTAGGCTTTTTATTTTTTACAAGTGTACAAGGAGGAATTGAGTTCAATTCAAAGGATCAGTCGTCGTGTGTTCTCCAAGATGCACCACAACAATGCGGCTCCTTTTGCTTGGCCGCACTCAACCCGCTGTTTGACGATTCTGATAATATCCGAAAAACGTTGGAAGAAATCGAGGCAGGGCAGAAAGCCTTTAGGATAACCACGGCGCAAGGACAAGAGGATCTGCAGGCCGGACTCGATTCGAGATTCAAGCTGGCGGAAGAACAACATATGGCGGTGAACTCGGAAATGAAGAACCAACTGCAAGAACTCATCACAAAAGAAGACTTCGCGAATTCAATTAAGGCTTTGCAGACTAAGCTGGATATGGGATTGGACAGAATGGAGGAACTTAGGACGGTGAGTTACGGATAGCAGACATGTAGACAGACATTCAGACTGACAGACATATAGACAGCTTATCGCGTTCCCATCGGAATTGCTTATCTCTGTTTATAGGTAAATTTAATGTATAAAAAACACAATTATAACAGTTTTTTAGAAAATTAGAAACTGCAACGAAAGTTCATTACACAAATTTTGATCTGTTTGTTTTGAATCGACGCTGACAATGTAATCAATACTTTCTTTTGAAAGCTCAATTAAGATTTATTGCAGTAACCAACTAATTTAAATATTGCAAACGAATGCAATGATTATTATTTTATCGCCTGTTCTAAATCATTTTGTACAGATCAAAATAACAGCCGATGCCCACGATGAACTCAAAATCCAAGTGAATACTCTACAAGACACCATAAAAAGCTTGCAGAGTCAGCTAAAAACATCTGAAGGTCAAACCAAAAGCAAGGAAGAGGAAATCTATGACCTTGCGACTCGAATTAAAGCGATTGAGAAATCAAAGTCAGAACTATCTAGTCAGCTTTCGGAATACCAAAAAAAACTCAAGGAGATGGAACCATTTAAGGTGTCATGTGCGTCGTCTCCACCTGGTTGGACTGTAATTCAGAGGCGCATTGACGGATCCGTGAACTTCCATCGAAACTGGGATGAGTATAAAAACGGATTTGGGAATGTTAGAGGAGAATTTTTCATCGGGCTGAAAAAATTGCATCGGATGACTGAAGCACGACCCCACGAACTCTACATTAAACTTGGAAAGGTTAATGGATCCACCAGCTACGCTCGTTACGATGACTTTAAGATCGGGAGTGAGGAGGAATTGTACGAGTTGAAGAATCTAGGGAAATATTCTGGTGAAACCGGAGACTCCCTTTCAGACAATAAGAACATAAAGTTCTCCACTTATGATCGGGATAATGACAGTATTAGTTCTTATAATTGTGCCTCTTTATATGGTGCATGGTGGCACAAAAGCTGTTCAGACAGGTATACCTGTTAATTTATGCTCTCACTAAATCTTCTTACTCTAATCACTTATAATTACAGTTGGCTCAATGGAAAATACCTCACAGATGGCAAAGGTGATTTAGGAATTCGTTGGGTCTCATGGCATGAAGATTTGTTTGAATCACTTACCTTTGTCGAAATGATGATAAGGCCCAAGTCTTTATGAGTAGCACTGTTAAAATATGAAATATTTGAACCTTAATACAAAATACAAAATCTATACTGTACTTTCGATGGTGGGTGGTATTAATTTGCTTTCCCTTGATGAAATGGGAGATTTGATAAATGGAAGTGATTGAAATTCCTTTAGACAGTTGAGACAGTTGGTAAGGTTTTTGTAGACTTTGCTAAATTTGTGCATACAGGAATCTTTCAGTGCAATTTTGAGAGCTTCCAATTCACCGTAAACCGGAATCCGGACCCCGGGCAACATTCATTCAAGGGCACTCCCTATTTAAGCGAAGGGGACTATGCAAGTTTTCGCTTAACTTTTCGTTCGGATGCCGTCTGCCATTGTTATTAATTTGCATATTTAAAAATTTTTTGTTAAGTCATTATGATGGGTATTTAAGGGAGTTTGGGGAATGATCTGAATAAGGGTACTTTCCAGCCTGAAGACACTATTATTCTGGGTTCCGCATATTGGAGGTGGTTGCTGCCCAAAGGGCAAAGTCAAGGCAACGATTTGACTTCTGCTCTGATGTTGAATGTGATTCCCGAAACCAATTCGAATACCGGAAGACGGTGTCTACAAACACATTTGCGCACTGATAAGCACTTTCAGTAACATCTGAAGATCATTCTGCGGTTCTAGATTAGCAGCCAGCTATAAATAAATACATAAGTACGAAACGAGTGCGATAAGCGTTCGCTTTTTATACCCAGGGGATATTATAATTTAGGTCAGAAGTTTGCAATGCCAAACATTACCCTTGAAGTTAACAAAACAACTATTTTGATTTTTATGCCTATATTACTAAAAACAATGAAGCTGTGTCGACTTTGCGCTGATTTTTGCCATCGTTTCTATGGAAGCTTTTCGATATTGTTGTTCGATTTTAATTTAATTAAAACCGTAATTCCATAATATTTAATTATTACCAAATCCCAAAGAACAAAAAAAAATTAACAAGAAAGGAGAGCTAAATTCCGGCGGAGCCGAAGTTGATATACCCTTGCAGAATATTCTGTAAATTATATTCTCCAAAATTATTCATATGATGCATTCTTAACACTCATAAAAATCCCAACGTCTTAACTTTAAAAACACCAAAGTGGCATTTCCAATCGTTCAGTTATATGGCAGCTATAGGATATAGTCGGGTGATCCTTATGAAATTTGATATGTCGGATTGATTGGCCGAAAATAAAACCCATAGAAAATCCCAACTTTACAAACACCAAAGTAATGGCATTTCCGATCAATCAGTTATATGGCGGATATAGGATATAGTCGGCCGATCCCCGTTCCGACTTATATAGTGCGTGCAAAGAAACGAAGGGTGTGTGCAAAGTTCCAATTCGATATCTTTAAAACTGAGATACTAGTTCGCGTAGAAACAGACAGACGGACAGACGGACATGCTTATATCAACTCAGGACGCCATCCCATATATACTTTTTAGGGTCGGAGATGTCTCCTTCACTGCGTTGCACACTTTTGACCCAAAGTATTTAAATATATATACTGTTGCCACCTGGTAACAAATAATAAAATTATATAAAGTAATACAAATGTGTAGAATTGTATGCTAGACAAGAAAGGAAAGCTAACTTCGGGCGGAGCCGAAGTTGATATACCCTTGCAGAATATTCTATAAATTATATTCTCCAAAATTATTCATATGATGCATTCTTAATACTCATAAAAAGTCCCAACTTCCTAACTTTAAAAACACCAAAGTTATGTCATTTCCAATCGTTCAGTTATATGGCAGATATAAGATATAGTCGGCCGATCCTTATAAAATTTGGTAGGTCGGATTGATTGGCCAAAAATAGAACCCATAGAAAATCCCAACTTCCTAACTTTACAAACACCAAAGCTATGGCATTTCCGATCAATCAGTTATATGGCGGCTATAGGATATAGTCGTCCGATCCTTATGAAATTTGGCAGGTCGGATTGATTATCCAAAAATAAAACCCATAGCAAATCCCAACTTCCTAACTTTAAAAACACCAAAGTTATGGCTTTTCCGATCGTTCAGTTATATGGCAGCTATATGATATAGTGGCCCGATCCGGCTCGTTCCGACTTATATACTACCTGCAATAGAAAGACAACTTTTGGGAAAGTTTCAAGCAGATAGCTTTAAAACTGAGGGACTAGTTTGCGTAGAAACGGACGGACAGACGGACAGACGGACGGACAGACGGACAGACGGACGGACAGACGGACAGACGGACATGGCTAGATCGACTCTCCTGGTGATGCTGATCAAGAATATATATACTTTATAGGGTCGCAAATGTCTCCTTCACTGCGTTGCAAACTTTTGACTGAAATTATAATACCCTCTGCAAGGGTATAAAAATTGGTTGTACTTGGGGATTGGAATTACGTTCCTTTTTAGTGCAAGTAACTTTTAAATTGGAAGAATGGGTAAAATCAGCAAAAGTGGTTAATTTTACATTTATTGGAAATGGCTTTAAGTATGTGGAAAGTAAACCTTAACCCCTTGGTGGACCTTTGGACCCCTATCCCCGAATTCATTACAGTCATCGTTTCCATTGCCATTGTACTCCCACCAAGGCCCCACGATCGGTTTTGCATTAATGCTGGCCCAGTGTGCGACCTAATGCGCTCAACCCGGAACCGCAGGGGTGACAAATTGGTCAAGTCGGTTGCTGGCCACGAAGCCAGCGTCTTGTGGCTGCAATTCCCATTCCCGATACCAATCCAATGCCAATGGCAATGGCAATGGAGATAGAGATGGAGATGGAGATGGCGATGCAAATGGCAGGAAATGCGTGATAACGACCGGCAGCACACATAGAAAATATTGAAAATTTGAATGAGGCACACAGACACCGAAACGAGGAGCGAGTCGATTCTCGAGATGGAAATGAATGCAGGACGAGGGGCAAAGCCATATCCTGGCCCTGACTGTGATGTCTTTGTCGCTGTGGATGTCGATGTTGTGAAAGTGTCGACACCAGTCCCGGCCAGGCCAAACACATGGCAAATGGCACATGGCACATGGCAGACGCTGCTCGTCCACTGTCCTGCCCCGGACCCTGCCACGCCCACACGCTCCGCGCCCCACAGCCTTTCCCGCAGAAGCTTCCCCTGTTTGTGTTGCCGCCTAGTGTAAGGGAACGAGCATAAAGAACCGCAAAATCATGAAATGCAATAATGAAGGCTTCATGGTCGATCGCTCAAACACTCGCTCACACTCTCGCTCACACACACGCTCTCACACACACTCACACCCGTTGCGATATAGTCACACAAAGAGGAGCTCAGGACGACGGATAAAGGAGGAAGGACGAAGGACGAAGGGGATGCGGCTGGTGCATAGGCAGCGAACCCAGCAAGCCTCTGGATGAGGGCCAGGCAAGACGTGCTATCGACACGACTGTCAATGCACTCAAAAAAAAAAGGGGCAAAGAAAATATTTTAATAAATTGATGTCTAAGTTAGCAAGTGTAAGCTAAGTCCACCTTACTCTTGCTTAAAGCGATCGGATCGATCCGATTATAAATTATAAATATGTATTAACTCTTAGGCGGGTGTTTCTTTCCCAAGATCCACCGTCCTGTATGTTCATATATAATACAAGATAGAAAATTGGGAATTATAAGTATTCATGTGTATTAAAACATATTAATAGTTGTTTGCGAAATAATGAAGAAGAATAAAAAGCATTTAGGTATAATTCTTTTGGCAGTTGGCCTAGTGTAGTGAGACTAAAAAAATCTAAATCTGACTATATATTCCATATATTTAAGTATTCATTTTTTCTGAGTGCTGCATGTGGCCGTGTGTGCGTGAGAGTGTCTATGAGCCACCATGTGTGTGTGAGAGTGTGTCTGTCGACACCACAAAGTTGCCATATTTAAAGCATAAAAGCAACATTTCCGTTTGTCGCATGCCGATGAAGCGACAGGAAAACAGAGCAGTAGGCGAAGCTGCGGGCAGGGGAGCCTGGGAGTCCTGGAGTCCTGGAATCGAGAATGGAGAATGGAGAACGGAACGAAGAATGGAGGGGGTGCGGGGTTTTGAAACTAAGCAGAGGTTGAGGCCTACCTCCTTTTGGGGCATGTATATGTGTGTGGCACGTGTGTGTGTCAATTTGTGTGCGTGCGCGTTGCAGTCATGTACAACATGCAACAAACGTGAGAAACTAAAATGAGTGCAATTTGTATTCCACGTTTACGTAGAAAAGGAGTCGAAAGCGGGACGAAGGAGGGCGGCGGGATTGGTTATAGGATATCTGGGATATGTGGAAAGCAGCCTCATCAAATCATCAAGCCGACCACAGAGCGCATCTTTCCCATTTTCGGATGGTACAAATTTCATTTTGGCTTCAATAGTCTCATAAAACTTACAGATTTACACCAAGAGGGTGGCAGGAGAGGCCTGGGCGGCGCAGCTCTTGTCCTTGTTCATCATTAAATTATATTGAGGCATTTTCAAAAGAACAGTGCCCGACCTGTTTGGGTCACCAACAGCAGTAGCACTTGGGTCACCGCCCCATGTACCCATTCTCTCGTTTTTTTTTTTCTCGAGCTCCGTTGCAGCTGTTCGTGTGCCTTGGTAATTGTTTAAAAGTAACTGCAACAAATTGAAATGGAATGCCAGCCAGCCAGCCAGCAGAGAAGACAAGCAGCCAAAAGAAAGAAGGCCAGCACCGAAACTCCACGACCAAGTCAAAGACTGCATACCCTCACCGAGTTGCGGTGACTCAGTGGCTTCAATTAGCCCAGGGAACTTGGTCTTGGTCCGGATCGGAACGAGACAGCCAACCATCTCGAGGCCCTCTCCCTCGCCCGTGACCATCATCTGAAGTTAGAAATCATTGTCTGACTGGGGCAAAAGTTCGAGGACTCTCCTCCATTGCAGTTAAAGGGGCCGTAGGACGAGGGACGGGAGGTGTCGCGCTGGGGCATAATAATTTCGAGCATTGTTTCCATTCCGTTCTGTTCGTGGGGTGGCCTTTCATGTTATTTCGCTATTTTGGACTTAAAATTAAAGGCCGACCCAGAGGCCACACAAGAACCTTAAACCACTCTGGGAAGCCGCGTTGTGTGGGTTGGGACAAGAAGGCAGCTCCGGAGCCACCAGAGACCAAGACTACAAGTCTACAATGCACTCCGGTTTTTCTTCTCCAGTCTCAGCAGCGCATTCAGTCCGCCTGGCATCTACGTGGGGATGAGGATGGGGATGGGGATGGCGATGGGATGGCGATGGGATGGCAGCCGGAGACGGGAGCCACGGGCTCTGTGCGTGCGATGAACATGTGCGGATCGTGCTCCGAGTTGAGGGAGCTGGCGACATTAATGGCAGCTCCAGAGCATTCCTCTACACTCAAAACCATCTAGGTGGTTTATTTATTAAGAACTATTTCAAATAACAATGGTAATAAAGAATCCATAATGATAGAGAAATATGTGTCTTTGATTTAAGAGCACATCTCCCAGTTTCTTAAACGTAAACCAAGGATTCGGATTGAATAGTTAAATTTGTTAAAACTTCGTAAACAGATTGGATAAGAACAGAAAATGTGTATAAATATCAATAAGGGACGCCGTAGTCGACTATCTTATATCGTATAACCGTTACTCTGATAACTATTTAAAAAAAAGGGGGCGTGGGCAAATAGTAAAATAAACTGGCACTAAGTAGACATAACTAAAATCTGCATAAATAGAATATAGTTCTTATAGAGAGAGATCTTTCCGTTAATAAGGACAGATAGGCGGATATGGCTAAATCGAGTCAACTAATGATCCTGATCGAAAATATATATACTATATATTTTCTGGATACCACCAGGAACAGGTGTAAGAATCCCATCCTTAATAGTAATTGTATAATCTTACTACATTGTTTTTAATTTGTCAACAATAATTTATCTATGCATTAATATACACGTTTATAGATAGTTAAGTAATGGTGTCTTTTAATAAGTAAATTCTAAATATCGAAATAAAAACTTCATATTTTTTTAGAACAATGGCGATATATCCCATTACAAAGCAGCGCCTTTTTTGTTTTGTGTGTAAACTGTACTGCGTGGTTTTGTGCTGGTCCAAGTCTTGGCCCAGGCATTTGCCCAACCGAAATCTAATTTAGTTCGTCCGGAGACAATGCCTTTTTCTCTTGTCTGTCACGCATCTTTTCTGCGTCTCCTTGCCGGATGACTGCAAGGATGGAAAGATGCAAGGATGCAAGGTTGCTGTTGAGCCAAAGCCAAATGCAGGCGCGTCTCCTTTTTTCGTGGTGTCTGGCGAATGCCATAATTAAGGTGTCGCCTCAGTTAGACAAGCCGAAGCGATCTATTTCCCAATCGTCTCGATGGCTCAAGCTTAAGTGAGGGGCTATGGAGGAAACATGGCCATGGGGCCAGTTTCAATTCCACTTATGCACAGCTCGGAGATTAAGATGTCGACTCGATGCGACTATGAAAATGGCTGAATCCCTTAGCTAACCGCAGAGCCTTGAGCTCCCGCTTCCGCTTCCGCTCCCACTCCAGCTCCTGCTCTAGCTACAGTACTCCACCTGGTACATGGGGTGGGCGATGTAAAAATATACTAAATATAAATGCACATAAAAATTCAATTTCTCTAAAGTGTAGCTAAGCATGTAATTGAATTTGTAATGGGGAACATCGTTGAGAATATCGCTCCCACCCTTTCCTTATTCGTTCACGAATTCACGTTAGCAAAATGTCTGTCCCATTGACAGACGGACTAACTGACTGAGTGACTAGCTGACTGAATGACTGACTGACTGACAGACTGAATGACGACCCGACCAACCGACTGAGTACCTCTCGTATGCATGGGAGATCCCTGTGCCGCTGAGTGTGTGTGAATGAGTCATACAATCGAGTAGGTCTGTGTGACATTTGACATAGGATTCCATTCAAATTCTCCACTTGGCCCCTCGAACGTTGCCATTATGTCTGCGTGGCAATTTTTCGCTCCTCTTTCGATTACCGCCTCCTGCTCTTTTTGCTGTGAGCGCTAGCACACAAAGAGGCCAAAGGAAACGTAAACCAAACACCAAGCTCACTGAGATATAGATGTGTCTGCGAATGACAAAATTAATTTGTATTTTGTATGCACATCAATTGCTAATAAGAAAAGAAAAGCGGAGATGTAAGGTAAATAGGCAAGGGAGAGAAGCGGGTGCGCTTAAGCCCATTCTTCCAGCCCTTTTCTTGGTGTGCCCCACGTTGGGCGCCACGTTTTTCATTTTGTCTGAAAAATAAGCACTGGAACATACTCATTAAACGGCTTTGCGCTCGTGGCTGCTGCTGTTGCTGGGCCTTCATTTCGGCCATACGCTCCGTTTTATTGGTCAATTAAATGCGACTTCTGCGGCTGCTGCGGGCGAGTCCGTTTAAGAGCTGCACAACCAATCTCGAGGTCATCGCCGTCGCCAACGAGTCGCACTAAAAGTAACAGCGCACAAAATGCCGGGAGGCAGACCCGGCTGAGGGCGGTGGCAGTGGCACTGGCTGTGGATGTGGATGAGGGGCAATCACGGTTCGTGCATCTGTCACTCAGGCAGTCGGTCGGTCAGTCAATCAGCGACATTGACAGGCCATAAAATTGGGCAGGTCAATCAATTAGTGAGAGACCCCGAATCAGAAATGGGGCCGGAGAACCAGTCGAGGCCCCGACGATCTTCGCCCGGCATCATTATCGCCTGTCGACGCCGGTCAGGACATGTCACGCAGCATAACGAATCAGGTGCAGGTCCATGTCCAGGCCCAGATACCGACTCATTGCAGGACCTGGCCTCACATCGCCATTGTCCAATGTCCAGTGTCTATTGTCCACTCACTTCCACTCGTCTGAGTCGGCATGTAAATTTAAGAGGGCGTGTGACGAGGAGCAGTAGCCGGAGCTCGAAAGGAAACAATTATGCTGAGCCAATGAAGCAAACTTCATCCGCCCTGTTGCCGTGACACGACTCCTGTCAGGATCGTGACACGTCGGTGCCGCTTCCTGCCGCCCTCCCGCCAACGACCCTTTACAGCCGTTTGTCAAGGCACTTTGCAAAATAAACAAGAATGAAAGCTGTAGTGGGGTTGCCTGACTATTAGATACCCACCCACTATTAAACTTTTACAAAATATGTTGGCAAGGATCAGTTTAGTTAGTGTCTTGATGCAGAAGCTTTCTAAATCTTTAATTGTTGATCCTGATATTGTCGCTTCCGTGATCCAGGCACCGGCCGGACTATAGCGTATATGCATTTTACATAATCGGAAACACTTTCTTCTACCGGCTTCATCATTTTCCACAAGCACATTATACCCTTTTTTCCCGGCGAGTAACGGGTATAATAAAATGAAAATTTGCTGCTTCCGGCCGAGGACGGGGTCCCATATCCTTCGCAATGTATCCGAATCAGCCGCATCCGTGACCATGTCCGTGTGTTATTTCTGCTGCTCCGCCTCCTCCTGCACCTCCACCTCCGCCTCCGTCTGCTTTTCTTTTCAACATAATTTTTAATGGGACGCAACGAAACGAAAAGTGAGAAAGCTGCCATGCACAGTGCAAAATGTTACCAGTAACAGTTAATTTTTAATCCAACAAGTTGGAAATAAAAACTTTCAAAAATATTATTTTTAAAGAAAAAATAATTCATATTTATGACTAATTAAAACTTAATGATTAATTGCTTGGTGAAACCTATTGCTTACATTTTGTGTATTCAATAATTAAAAGCTAACGTTTAGTTGCTAATTAATACTTATTGCTTAAATCTGTGGTACTAAGTAATATTAATTATCATTGGATAATATATCATTATCGCCAATTCTCATAATAATTGCTTGGAATACTTGCCCATATAACCACTTTCAATGCTGCCTGTTGGAAGTGAAGGTAGATACATAATTATATTTACGCGGCAAACCATAAAATCGCCAGGTCATCTGTTGTGAAAAACATACATGGGGACATATGTATTTGACTGCTTGTAAAGACGCCACTGATTACACTTGACTTTTTATTTTTAATAACTTCTTAATTAATTTTTTGATGTGCAAAACTTTTGTGGACGGTGCATAATATTAAATTAAAGCTGCATAACTATGTTAGCATCTACATCCGTTAAACTTCCTATTTCTAGATCTTTTAGTTTCCGAGATCTCGACGTTCTTACGGACAGACAGAAGGACATGGCTAGATTAAACAGCCCGTGATCCTCAAGAATATGTATAATTTATAATGCCGGAAACACTTCTTTCAACCTGTTACATTCTTTTAAAATAACACACTTTTACTCTACGAGTGACGATTATAAAAATTGACTTGTTTTCCAAAAATTATTCCATTCAATAGTTTACAAATTTTCGAAAAAGGTTTTGTTAAAATACTAAGCTTACTTATATTTAAGATATAATAAATCCATTAATCCTTTTATTTTAATCTATCAAATCAGGAAAAGTTATTATAATTTTGGTCAGAAGTTTGAAACGTAATTAAGGAAACGTATCGGACCCTGAAAAGGTTTATATATTCTTGATAATATGATGATGTTAAACCAATTCATATCCACACCTTGAGTTGATTTTATCCTATAGCTGCCATATATCTGTCATACAAACGCTTATAAGCAGTATATTTTCTCAGTGCACGGTGCCATATTTTTGGTATGACTGCAACGGTAATTAATTTGTTCTTGGTTCCATCAATTACTTTCGAGACAATCCAACAGAAAAAAGTTGATTTGTGGGCAACTCTGGTAATACTTATGACCTTTACCGAAATGGTGTGTTTTCTTGGAATCTTGGCAAAAAAGATCCCAGCTGCAGAGATTTCCAAATTTTTAAAACATATTTCTTAAAATACTAACCAAAAAATATTGGTCCATGTAAAAAAAGAAAGGAAGCAAACTTTGGCAAGCCAAAGCTTATATACCCTTGAAGTTATTACAAAACGATTACATTTCGATTTCTATGCCTATATTACAAAAACCATGAGGCTATGTCAATTTTGAGCTGCATTTTGCTATCATTTCTATGGCAGATATATGATACTTTTCTCCGATTTTGACAAAACTAAAAGCGTAATTATGATATAGTTAAATAAATATTTTGATAAATAGAAAAACTGCAAAATCAAATTAAAAGTTTTTTTTTAAATTATTTATTTTCTATGGGACCTATATGATATAGATGTCCGATTTTAATTTAATTAAAACCGTAATTCCATTGTATTTAAATATTTCCAAATCCCAAAGAATAACTACAAAAAGTTAAAAGCAACAACGTTATACTTTTGTACATATGCTGATCAAGAATATATATACTTTATAGGGTCGGATATGTCATATATATGACTCATATATCATTTGTATA